TTGACGTTTGATTTTGTCGAACCGTGAAGTGATTGTTGTTGTTGTTGTTGTTGTAACTGTTGGCGACATTTAGCTCTACGATTTTTAAACCACACCTAAATTAATAAAAAAAAAAAAAAAAACAGAAAAAAAAACAAAATCGTTAAATGTTCTAAGTAAGGCAACGTGTCGAATAACGTGACGTTTAAATTTTAATTAACAAATTTAATTATATAATCTTTTGCCTCGTGTTGGTGTAGGGAGGGAGGGAGGGAAAAACGAACGGGAGGTGGGGATGATATAAGAACACAAAAGAAAATGTTTATAATTCAAAACGCAAATAAAAGTTGGGCGGGCGGTTGGGCGAAACCCCTAAAGTTTGCGCCATAAAATGCATTTTTACATTTATTGTTGTTTTACCCCCCGGCGAAACTACACTAAAAACTTTTTTTTTTTTGCAACGTGCATGAATATTATTATTATTATTATTATTATTAGGTTTAAATAAAAGGGCGAACGTGTGTGTGCGTTCGTTCGTTCGTTCGTTCGTTCGTCTCTATACCGCAGGGCTTGCTTTATACTTTCAACATAATAAGTTAATTTATCAAAGTGCGACTCGTAGAGATTATGACACGACCGCATCTAATTATCGAATGAAAAAAAAAAAAAAATTTCGCCCCCAAAATTTGTTTGCTTATGATGAATAAATAAATAAAAAAAAGAAAACAAAACAAACGCATTCGAAACGTCATCGGCCGCCATTTTGTAATAAAAATAAAAAAAATAAAAAAATTTTTTTTTTTTCTCTCAAGTTATTCACTTTATTGTGTAGTATCCGAAGGCAGTTATATAAAAAAAAAAAAAAAACTTTTTTAAACCTGATTAACCTGCGTGACGCCATTTTGTCTCTCTTTGGCTTATTTTATTTTTTTAATTTAAAAGATACAAAAAAAAAATTAATGCTCCATTTTACTTCGGTCGTCTACTGTTGCGTAAATAAAAAAAAAAAAAAAATTTTTTTTTTTTTTTTTTTCCATGGGAGTCGAGTCGCCCTTTTTTTTTTTTTATGTATTTTAGGTCCGGGATTTAAGGGCGGTAAAAAAAATATATTTTTTTTCTACCTTCAACCCTTATTCCATCATCCCCTCTATTCCAACCATTTTTTTTGTCTCCATTGTCGTCGTCAAAAAAAAAAAAAAAAAAAAATGTTTACTCGCATATTTCAAATCGTAAAAAAAAAATTTCTGTCGCGTACCTAAAAATTAATTAAACGTGACGTGACGTGACGTAATCAATGGAGTTTTCCGAAAAAACAAATCGATTTTGTTTGTTTATAATTAAAAAAAAAAATTATTTAAATTAAAACAACAATAACAACGTGAGACAAACAATCACGTGTGTGTGTTTGTACGAATGTGTTTATGGATTTATTTTTGCGTAAATGTAACGAATGCAGGGAGAGA